TATATTGATTTCATAATAGTATTGAGTACATTGAGTATTTCTTTTTCTATTCTTGACATACTTAGAAGAATTTGATCTAGCTTTATCCATGTGAACATAAAAGATGTGAAGTCTCCATCTCTTATGGCTACGTAATATTCCATGGTACGCATATACCACAGTTTGTTAATCCATTCATGAGTTGATGGACACTTGGGCTGTTTCCATGACTTGGCAGTTATGAATTGGGCTGCAATAAACATTCTTATGCAAATGTCTTTGTTGTAGAACGATTTTTGGTCATCTGGATTTATACCTTGTAGAGTAATTGCAGGATGGAACAGCAGGTCAACTTTTAGTTCCCTAAGTGTTCTCCAAACTTCATTCCAGAGGGACATATTAATTTGCAATCCCACCAGCAGTACAGAAGAAGCGTTCCCTTCTTTCCACATCCCTACCAGCATCTGTAGTTTTGGAATTTTGTTATGTGGGCTATTCTTACTGGAGTTAGATGATATCTCAGAGTAGTTTTGATTTGCATTTTTCTGATGATTAAAGATGAAGAACATTTTCTTCATGTTTCTGTAGGCCAGGTGCCTGTCTTCTGCGGAGACACTTCTGTTCAAGTCTCTTGCCCACAGTGAAAAGGGATCACTTGTTCTTTTCTTGTCATAAGTTTGAGTTCTCTGTGGATTCTAGTTATCAAACCTTTGTCAGAAACATAACCTGCAAATATCTTCTCTCATTCTGAGGGCTGTCTGCTTGCTTACTTACTGTGTTCTTGGCTGTGCAGAAGCTTTTTAATTTGATCAGATCCCAGGAAGGTATTTTTGGTATTGCTTCAATTGCCCGGGGGGTCCTCCTCATGATGTATTCTCCCAGGCCAATTTCTTCAAGTGTTTTCCCTGTACTCTCTCCCAGAATCTTGATAGTTTCATGTCTTCAGTTTAAATCTTTTTATCCAGTGAGAGTCAATTTTTGTTTATGGTGAAAGGTGTGGGTCCAGTTTCAGTCTTCTACAAGTCGCCAGCCAATTCACCCACAACCATTTGTTAAATAGAGAATCTTTCCCCCAATTTATGTTTTTGATAGGCTTATCAATGATCAAATGACGATAAGTAGCTGGGTTCATCATTTGGTTCTCTATTCTGTTTCATACGTCTACCTCTCTATTTTTGCGCCAGTACCATGCAGATTTATAACACAGCCTGAAGTCTGGTAGCCTGATCCTCCTGATTTGTTTTTGTTTCTGAGTAATGTGTTGGCTATTCAAGGTTTTTTCTGATTCCATATAAAATGAAGTACTATCTTTTCCAAATCTTTAAAGTATGACAGTGGTGCTTTAATAGGGATTGCTTTCGGTAGTATGGACATTTTAACAATGTTGATTCTTCCCAGCCATGAGCATGGTATGTTCTTCCATTTGTTAACATCTTTAGCTATTTCTGTTCTCAGAATTTCATAGTTCTATGTATAGAGATCTTTCATGTCTTTTGTTAGGCAAATTCCCAGATATTTCATCTTCTTTGGTACTATTGTAGAAGGAATAGAGTCCTTGACTGTCTTTTTAGCTTGAGTGTTGTTGGCATATATAAAAGCTACTGATTTGTGAGTAATGATTTTGTATGTAGAGACGCTGCTGTATTCCTTGATCACTTCTAAGAGTTTTGTAGTTGAGTCTCTGGGGTTTTCTGAGTGTAAGATCATATCATCAGTAAAGAATGAGAGTTTGATTTCCTCTGACCGTATTTGGATACCCTTGATTGCCTTCTCTTCCCTGATTGCGATGACTAAGACTTCCATTACAATATTGAAAAACAGTGGAGACAATGGGCAACCTTGCCTGGTATAGTTGCTTTTTTAAAAAATCAAAATAATACATTCATATCATTTCTTTTAAATAATCATTTTCTTGTCATAGCAAATGTAAATTGTAGAAAATTATATACACACAAGCTAAAAATAAAGAAAAACTTACTATTTCCACCACACAAAGATCACTACTATTATAGCACATTAGTAAAAATCTTCTGTTTGCAGGTGTGGGTGTAAACACACATCTTGTATCTTCTGTTACCATAATAAAATAGTTGAACATTTTAGTTCAACATGTTGTTCAATAGTTGAACATGAACAGAACATGTGTACTGTTCTCAAAATAAGATAATTGTGTACATACTGTTCTGAAATGTGCCTTCTTCAGCAAATGAATTCCACCTTATAATTTCACAAGTTAAACCATGTAGCACTAAGTTTCCAGCAGATGCAGAATCATCCTTTATAACTATTTTATCCAAACCAGTATCCAATCCAGGACCGTACACTGCATCTTATTGTTTTTTAATTTGTGTGTGTAGTTTTTTGTAATCCAGCACTCTGTTCATGATACTGATTTGAGTGAACTAGTCCAGTTGTTTTACATACAAGATGGCCTCCTTTCTACTTTTGTCTTATTTATTTGAGGTGCTGTTTAGTTTCTGTTTCCTGCAACCTGGAGGTTATAGCTAATGGAATGAAGTTTTGGAAAACATACACTCAGTGTTGCATTTTATTAGAAGATACCTAAAGTTTGATTGACCATCTAGTGGACCATTACTAAGGTGCCCTCTGGATGCAGTGAGAACAGTTTGTTCCTTGCATTTGTAGGGTTCTATTTTATCCTTTGTGAATCAAAACTAATCTGTGTGGCATCTTTAGGCTCTATGAATGTCCAGTTCTTCATGGTACATTCACCTAATGGTTTCAGCTTTGAATTGATAATCTTTGTCTGAACTATTACTTTAATGAAGATTACCAAGTTATATTTTCCAAAATCTGTGATTCCATCCAACTTTTCTAACTGGCGTTCTTACACGGCAGAGCTTTTCCTCATTAACTGGTATTATTTAGTTACTTTAAATTATAGTTTCTGTTGGCAAGGCAAAATAAATGCTTAATTCTTTTAATCACCAAATAAAGAACTGGCTTAATTGCTGCCTCAGATGATAACAAATGAGTTTTTTCTGCCTTTCTCTATTTTATCATTTTGTGCCTGTAGTTATTCAAGGTCAGTATATATATTTTTTAAATTCCTTACATTTTATTTCACAGTTGATGAAGGAACTTACCATTCATCTGTCTTTCCCTTTCCTACCTCAGTTTCTTCTCTCCAGTAGCAAATACTTTGAATCTTTTTAATTGCCTTATATTATTAACCTTTTATTTCCAAATAATATGCTAAAACAACTGTCTTTATTTTTTCATTATCTGATGACTTACTACTGTGGAAGTGAAAGATTAAACTCTATTTCCTCTACTCCTCCCTTTTACAAACACATGTAATACCCATACATTGTCCTGTCATAATTTTGATTAAATCGATATTTGGCATTAACATTATGACTACATAAATGTTGCTTATAGCTGATTAAAAAACATATTAGTAGTCTTTATATACAATCTTTTCCCTCTAGGTTACTAATAGATTTAATTTTTGTGTAAATTTTTTTTTTTTTTTTAAGAAAGAGAGTCTTACTTTATTGTCCTTGCTGGAGTATGGTGGTATGACAGTGGCTCACTGCAAACTTGAATTCCTGGGCTCAATCAATCCTCCCCTTTCAGCTCCAAAATTGCTAAGACTATAGGCACACACCACTATGCCTGGCTAATTTTTTTTTTTTTTTTTTTGTACACATGGATTCTTGCTACATTGCCAAGGAACTCCTAGCCTCAGTCATCCTCTCTCACCTCAGTCTTTCAAAGTACTGGGGTTATAGGGGCATTGCCTGTGGCTCAAGGAGTAGGATGCCAACCCCATATACCGGAGGTGTTGGGTTCAAACCCAGCCCTGGGCAAAAACTGCAAAAAAAGAAAGTACTGGGGTTATAGGCATAAGCCATTGCGCCTAGCCTTGACCCCAGATTTTTAAGTACTCCCGTAAACTTCCTATCAGTAAAGTTAGACACTTGATCTTTTCCTTCCATGTTTTCTTGAGAGGTTCCTCCTGGAGCCTTCCATCCTCTCCTTCCTGTCTAGACTATGCTCTGTGCCTACCGCCCAGTTACTGTCCTGGAACTGGAACTTTTTTAACATCATCCTAGGAAATCCTTTATTCTGTCTGACAGATTGGATCCTCAGTTTCCTAGATTTCTTGCATTTTTCTTTCTTGATATACACCTTCATTTTTGTGGGTAAATCTACCAGGAGATTTTTGAGAAGAGCGCAACAGGGCAAAATTACTGAGAGCTTATTTCTACCTTTGTATTTAATTGATAGTTTACTTGAAATAGAATTCTAATACAGAAATCATTTTCCAGAATTTTGAAGTTATTGTTTCCTTGTTTTTGATTTTGCTTAGGGCCAGTGAGAAATCTCATGCTATTCTTATTACTGATTCTTTGTATGTTACCAGTCTCTTCTTGGAAACTATAATCTCATCTTTGCTTCTGGTGTTCTGAAATTTCACAGTGGTTTTCACAGTGGTCTTGTGGTTTGGTCTATGTCTAGAAATTCATATCTTTTAGTTCTGGGAAATGTCTTATATTATTTCTTTAATAATTTCCTTCCTTCTGTATTTTCTGTTCTCTCCAAAGGAATCTATCGGATGTTGTACTTCTATATTTAATCCTTCACTTTTCTTATCTGCTATCTATTATTGTCATTTTATTCTTCTAGAAGATTTCCTCAACGTTGAACATTTCATTCCTGCTTGCATATTTTTCCTTCCTTTGTGTTGGTTACACCACGTCTGCTGGCAGGCAGGCAGAGTTCTCTGCTTCAAGTCAGTTGCTATTCCACGGACTCGCCACCTTCCGAGGCTTGGATGATGCTTATCTGCTTCACATTCTCTTGGCCTCTGTGCTTAGACCTGCTGTATTACTTCTCTGTCACTTTGGGAACAGAATAAACAGAGATAAATGCTTGTGTTCAATCCATATTTTAAACTGAAATGTCTCAAATTTCTTAGTACTTTCTTTCTTTTATGGTTTGACTATTTTTTTTCTAATACCTCCAGACTTAATGTACATTTTCATTGTTCCCAGGTTGCCGAACAGGTGAAGCGAAGTTGACCAAAGGGTTTAATCTGGCTGCCCGGTTCATCATTCACACAGTGGGACCTAAATACAAGAGCCGCTATCGCACAGCAGCTGAGAGTTCCCTGTACAGCTGCTACAGAAATGTGCTTCAGCTGGCAAAGTATGGTCTGATCATTCTATGGACATAACATGTCATACATTGTTAAAGGCCCCAGTATAAAGATAAAACTTAGCTATGGAAGTCAAATTTTGAGGAACTTAGATAATTTTGGAATACCCTAGAGATAGAATTAATCATTTATCTTTTCAAACTTACTAAGATCAATAGGATGGATTTAATCAATTCCCATTTTATTCTGTTTTTATTTGAAATCTATACTCCAAAGAATGCAATTTACAATTAAATTGTATAGCAGTATAATTATTAAATAATGCAAATGGATTAGCTATTATAGAAGATTTGTTGAAGAAGTAGGGAAAGAGAAGTTAAGCTGTGTTTAGAAATTCTGTATCATCATGTATGTATTACAAATTTTTATAGTACTATTTTTGTTTCCTGTTTGATTACAGAGAGCAATCAATGTCTTCTGTTGGGTTCTGCGTCATTAATTCTGCAAAACGAGGCTATCCTTTAGAGGATGCAACACACATCGCACTTCGTGAGTAACCTTGGAAACGCCTGCATGAATGTTGAATCTGAAAAATTTTTTTTATCATTAATGAAATGATTAAGGCCACAGAGGGTTCATGATTACCTGATGATGGCACCCTGGAGGGAAGTTTCTAGTGACAAGTTGCAGAGCTCTCACTTTACTTTCTTGGGTTGACATTTTTATCGGTGTCAATAAAGCCTTAGTTAGAAGACTTGCCTATCAAATTTAACAGAGATTAATTGAGCAAAATAGGATTCACAAATCAGGCAGCCCCCAGAACCAGAATAGGTTCAAAGTGACTTTTCTATTAAATTTGAAAGTGATACTAAGACTAGGGAGTATGGGCAGTGCATCAGGGATTTGAATCAGAATTCAGAGTAATCGTTGCTGTAACAAATGTAATCAAAGCAGATTTCATAACATCCTATTTAGACATCACTTTGCATTTTAAATAGCCACTTTCATATGTGCTATTGAATATAAAACCCTGCATTTAGATTTTTTTAAAAAAGACTGGGCTCAATCAGTATGAGCCAAAATGTCATATATGTGATATCAAAATATGGTGTTCAGTCCAAGAGAGCCGCGATCTCACTGTATATACTCGGGTTCAGACCACATCTAAAGTTTTGTATGCAGTTATGTGTGAGAAATTAGAGGACAGATACTTTAAAACATTAGTGGTATTTCATTGTGGACTTATTTGTGCTGCATTTTTGAGCAACAGTTCTTGGGAGGATCATCATAAACTACACTGAGCATCTGCTGAAAAAGTACTGTGGATCCTGTCTCAGGAAAAATGTATATAAATGCAGAATTTGCGTGTTTGTTCAGGATGTCTACAGATCCTCATCAGGATCGTGCAAGAGAACTATAGCTGTACAAGGCAAGGTCTACAACCATGTTGCCGGGAAGATTTCAGACTCATCTGAGATAAAACTGTGCCACAAAAATATTTTAGTGCAGTGACTACGTGACCATCTGTTACAGATATTATAGAAAACATCTATCCTTTGGGAGAGAAACTATACTACATAATCTTTAAGACCCCTAGAATTTAAAGATGAGGAGCTAAAAGCCTTATAGCCACTAAAAATTATAAAAATATCCCAATGTACATAATAATTGTATAACCTATACTTTAGGTTGAGGTCCTATTCAGTCTTGCATAGTCTAAACTTACAAACTATTGCAAAAACTAATACCCTTGCTGCTCAAGGATGTTGTAGTAGAATTTATAGATTGTATAGTTGGACTTTATATACAGTAGACTAAGCTGCAGGGGCACAGATTTATCTTGTCATCTTTGTATTTCCAGTGCTTCTGTATGTCAAAAATGCTTGACATATGGTGCTTGCCCAAGAAAATGTTTTAAAAAGGGCCAAAGAAATCCTATTTAATTTCTGTAAACAACTCTGCATTTTAGGTAGTAGTGTCCATTATACAAATTAAGAGACTCCAAAATTAATCATGTTGTCAGGATTACACAGACTTGGAACACATATTCACACCTTCTGACTCCTAAGTCCAGTGACCTATCATACTAGATAACTCATTATGCTTAACTGAGAACTGCTTCAGGTTACAATATTATAACCTGTATGTCTAAATGGTGCATTACCCAAAGCAAAGTTCCTGCCTTGATATCATTCCTCTTGACAAGGCTTTTAGCTAGTCTCTGCATTCTCTGATTTCTCTTAATCCTTACCCTGTCATCTCATAGCTTCTTTTATATCTCTAGTTCTTACTAAAGTAATAAGGATTAGAATTTAAAGATGCAGCATCATTTTATAGAAAAGAATCTAAATAGGGATTCAAGAAGACTAGTTTTTAGTTCCAATTCTACCAGTCCAGCTCTAGCTCTGTGGCCTCAGATAAATTACTTGGCACAGTACCATTAGAGAGGTCAATTTTGAGAATAACTGGTAAAAGCAGATAAAGATCAATGATGGGTATAAGGGACTTTGATGATGCCATTTCTAGGAATTAGCAAAAAGGGACTAACTCCTAAAGTTACCCAGTTAACTTATATTGTATAAGGCCCATTTAACATATTACACCTTAAATGTAGTAGCAAAGCTATAGATCTTATTCAAACACACACACATACACAGTGATGCCCTTTGCTTGAATACTTTCCCAAGCATTTGGAAAACAACATGGCTTGTACACTTTTATAGCATATATAGGGCAAGAACAAATCTAATGATATAACTAGGTCTTCAGTATCAAAAGATTTCTTATCAAACTATTGTCAGAATTTATTTTATTTGAAATCTAAGCGTCATCTTCTTAGATACTGATATATCAAGACTTACCCTTTTTTTCTGTGTACAGTTCGCCAAGAAAATTATAAAGAAATAGCAAGGTGTTGTGGCAGGTGCCTGTAGTCACAGTTACCAGGGAAGCTGAGGCAAGAGGATCATTTCGAGCCCAAGAGTTTGAGGCTGCTATGAGCTGTGATTTCACAGCACTCTACCAAGAGCACAAAGTGAGACTCTGTCTCAAAAAATCTAAAGAATCATCCACATTAAAATAAATGTATCAGGCTAATTTGAGTGACTGCTATGTGCTAGGCTCTGTTCTGTACACAAGAAGATACATTAGTGAGAAAAAAGTGAAGATGTTTGTTCTGTGTTTCCAGGTGAGGAATTTTAATGTCCCAGGTGTCATTCTCACCAGTTGAAGGGTATTCACTAGATAATAAGCACATGACATTCTGGTTGATGGCAGAAAGTAGTGTACAGATGAAATTTTGAAAAGACGGTGTGAAAAAAAGAGAAAAAAAAGAGAAGACGGTGTGACCTGGCAGTGAGTTCTAAAACCTTAGAGTCATGGCCTCATTCTTTTTTCCCCTTTTTGTAGAATTACTTTTCTAAATGAACTGTGCTGAGGGAATTCAATTTTGTTGGTATTTGGCATTGCATTTTGTCTTCCAAAATTATATGCTGAGAAACTTTTATGTGTGAGCATTGAAACTTGATGTCAGAGTAAATAGGAAAACAAAATCTGGTTTTGGAAGTTCATTTTTGAAAAAATGTCAAGGTGGAATAGAAGGATAAATGAAAAATAAATTTGTTACCTAACAGAGGGAGAGTTATGAATGCTTGTTCTCTCTTTCAACAAATTAGGCTCTTGAGATACAATGGTGAACAAAGCAGACAGTATATTTATAACCAGAATCATAAATTGTTAATTCTGTTATTAGTTTCTTTTGAATCATTGCACGTCAAATCATTAAGGTGTGCTAGAGCTTAATTAAAGTAATATTAATGTAATATGTACTCAGTCTTCAAAAGCTCAGTCTAGCCATAAAATGCTATGAAAGGTTCATAAATAGAAGGATGCTGAAAAGATTGTAGGAGGAGCACAAGGAAGGGTGAGTTCTGCCTAAGGGAGAAATTAGTAGGAAAGATAGGTGAATGGAGTTCTAGGCAAAGGGAACCATGCGAGCAGAGGCAGAACAGCAGGAAAGTGGCCTGTTTTGAGTACAAGAAAGAAGCAGATTTGGCTAACACATAAAATGTGAGAAGAATAATTGGAAATAGGACTAATGAGCAGAATGGGGGAAAATAGTTGGGATCAAAATATGGAGAATCATGCTAGCGGCTTTGAATCTTTACGTATAAAGTGGTGCAGAGCTATCACAAGGGTTTAGTGAGGAAGAGAACAGAAGAATTCAGGCAACAGTGAATATGTAGATTTGGGGAAAAAGGAGAAGAGTTAAGAGTTAATTGCCAAAGTCTGTGTATTGAGAACCTGAAAGCAGCTGGAAGAGAGAAGAAATAAATTTTAGAAAATACGTACCAGCAGTGGAAATAAGGAAGAAAACCATTTGGAAACATAAGATGAGGGAAGGGGTAAAGAAGTGTCAAAGGGAACTCAGGATTTTAGCGTTGGGGTTGAGATAAATACAAGACAAGGAGCAGGTGTAGGGATGAGAAGATGGAGACGGGGACTTGGCTCTGTTAGGATTAGATGTGGATATGTTGAGTTTGAGATCTCTGGGGTTATCTGGACTGATATGCCTAGTAGGGTGCTAGGGAATTCAAGTCTTTTGTTTAGAAAACAATGTAAAGATTTGGGAGCCATCCGCATTTGAGGTAATACCCAACCAGCAAATTAGTGAGCTGAGGGAAATATGAATATCAAGGAAAGAAAAAATGTAGAGGACAGAATCCTGGAGGGCAACATTTTATTTATTTGTGTAATTTTACTTTTTTAAAAAAACAAAGTCTTACTCTGTCACCCTCTGTGAGCTCTGTCACCCTAGCTCACCACAGCCTCAAACTCTTGTACTCTAGTGATGCTCTTGCATCAACCTCCCATGATGATGTCGGCTGATGTTTCTATTTTTACAAGAGATGGGGTCTCGCTCTTACTCAGGCTAGTCTTGAACTCTTGAGCTCAAGCAGTCCACCCACCTCGTCCTCTTACAGTGCTAGGATTACTATAGGAATGAGCCACCACGCCTGGCCAAAGACAATATTTTTAAAAGGTGAAGGCTTGCGCAATAAGGACTAGAGCCAGGGAAAGATCCAGTAAGTTAAGAACTGGGAAAAGGACACTAGGTCTTACTGTTAAGAAGTTGATAGAAGATAACCAGGATAACACAAAGTAAGAAAAAAAAGGATCTGCTTTGGTTTTGTGAGGTTTGTCAGAGGATGAAAGACTCAGTAGGACATTGAATGCTGTAACTCAGTAAGTAGAAAGACACTTGTGCTAGATCATTCAGGTCAAACAGAGGCCCCAGGGAATAAGAAAATATCCTGGGTGAAGGAGAAATAAAGCTCCTTCTGTTGTGCAACTAGAGGATGAGGAGGAGAGGGCAGAGCGGACATTCAGTAAACAAGTAACTCCGTGAAACGTCTGTAGCATTGCTCTGGAGCAGGGGTCCTCAAACTTTTTAAACAGGGGGCCAGTTCACTGTCCCTCAGACCATTGGAGGGCCGGACTGCGAGCCCCGGGATGAGTCAGCTGCTAAGCAGGACAGGCAGCAGTGGCAAAAACACCCGGTGGGCTGGATAAATGTCCTAGGCGGGCTGCTGTGGCCCGCGGGCCACAGTTTGAGGGCACCTGCTCTGGAGGAAAGCAAATCAGAGAAGAGGTTTTTGCAGGTTTCTGGGCAGGCCTAACTGATCAGGTATCATAGAAAAGTGACCTGAATGAAATGATCCATTATAAAAGTAAACCTCTGAAGAGTTTCTCTTTATATAAAAGTAATTTTTACTTATTGAATAATCCTTCTCTTTTCTTTTCCTCAGGCACTGTAAGGAGATTCTTAGAGATTCATGGGGAAACCATTGAAAAAGTAGTATTTGCTGTTACTGATCTTGAAGAGGTATTTTGCTAATTGTTATTATTTAAATCTTATTTTTGCTTGTAACTGCCTTTATCTCATCATCATAAGTTTGGTGAATTTCCAGCAAGCAAACCTAATTATGTATGTATTTGGCTAGTGGGATTTGCCATCATTCATTGAAAAAGGCTTTATTGGAAACAAAACAAACCAAGAAGAACATTTTGTTAATGTTTTTTTTGCTAAACTGCTGTCTCTGTACATGAAATCTTACACAAGTGGAGTCGTTCTGCTGTGTTAGCTCTCCGAGGCTAAGTGGAAAGCTACTACTGGCTAGAAAAGCTCGGACGTGTGCCTGACCTAGAAACACGTGACAGCCTTACCTAGTGGCTGTTACTGAGTAAGTTGTGAGAGTTACATGTTTTATTGTATGTAGTTAGGTTCATTATGTTTCAATTTGATTTCAAGACATTTTGGAAAGTCGGTTCTTTATCTTATTGAGCTTTATTTAGTTTTAGAGTGCTTTGTCCAATTCAGCTTCTAATATTTCCCAGTTTTATATTTTTGGCAAATTAGTAGTATCTGTATCACAGGATTTTTGTGATAATTAAATGAATTAAGGTATGTGAAACATCTATGTAGAGTATATGTAGCTGTCTACGTATTATAAAAGTGCTTTTGAATTTGAAAAAAAGGCGTATTTACCTTTTTTGGTATCTCTTGTTTCACTTGGTTTATCTCTACATTGACCCTGCCAGTGACCTTTTTTTGAGTGTCTGTCATGTCACATTTAGTATATTAGGTTCTGGGAATCCACTGGGGACCAAGTCATGGTTGTTTCCTCAAGGAGCCCATTTTCTTCTGTGGAGGCAGAAAATTCAGATAATAAGTGCATTAATGAAGGTGTGGGAGGGCTAGGATATAGGTCCAGCTTGGCCTGTGGTTAGGAAATGCTTCCCATGGGAAGAGAAACATAAGGTGGGATTATTTTAAAAGATTATTAGGATTTGCTAAGAGAAAGGCAAGTGGCAATAGTCCTGCAAGTCTGGGCAAGGACATGTAAGTAATAAATAGCACTGAGTGTTCAGTGTTGCTGTCGCATAAAGTGCGAGGCTCTGAGTGGCAAAAATGAAAGGTTGGGGCAAGATGACTCAAGGCTTATGTTGCATGCTGTGGAATTTAGCCTTTATCAGTTATGCGTTGGGGAAATGAGTTTTAAGCAAACAAATGATGTGATCTCCTTTCTGCTTTAGCTGTGTGAAGAATGGTTTGGAAGGAGAAAGACTATGACAAGAAGAGATAACAGATGGTTGCAGTATTCCAAATGAGAAATGGTCAGGCCAGAGCAAGGGCACTGGGAGTGGTGAAATTTAAAAAATTTAATAGATAAATTCAGCTGGAGTTGGTGGCTCTTTAAAATAATACATAGGAGAAGCAGGAAAAGAAATTAAGTGTGGCTTCTAGGTCTCTGGCTTGCATGACAGGATAATGATACCATCAGTGAGGTCACAAACAGAAAGAGAAGGAAGGTATTGGAGAGGGAATGAAGATGAGGTCTTTTCTGAACATATTGAATCTTAGGGGATCGGTGGAGCATCAGGGGCAGGTGATCAGCAAACCAGGTGCTCATCAGTTTGAAACTGAAGGTGGAGTGTAGGCTAGAATTCAACCATTTTCATCAGACAAGGTACGAAGTACCAAGAAGATAAAGCTCTTGCTCTCAAGGAGTTTTTAAGCTAGTGACATCATAGCTGAGTAAACAAAGATCACCCCACAATGTGGTACACGCCGTGCACCACAATGCTATGGCAGCCTGGGGGGCGCTCAGTGCAGACACAGAGGAACAGAGAAAAGTCTTTACTTTTCAAGTCACTTGTGAGTCATTTATTCAAAAATGAAAGGATAGTCATGGCACCTATAGCTCAGCGGCCAGGGTGCCAACCACATACACTGGAGCTGGCGGGTTCAAGCCTGGCCCGGGTCTGCCAGACAACAATGACAACTACAGCAACAACAATAACAACAACAACAAAAAAATAGCTGGGTGTTGTGGCAGGTGCCTGTTGTCCCAGCTACTTGGAAGGCTGGGGCAAGAGAATCACTTAAGCCCAAGAGTCTGCGGTTGCTGTGAGCTGTGACGCCACAGCACTCTACCAAGGGCAACATAGTGAGACTCTGTCTCAAAAAAAAAGGGAACAGAATTAAAGGATAATGGGAAACAATTTTATTGATTAGACAGACATTTCAGTAAGAATTTCAACATGGCAAACCTCTTTATATCAAGTAAGCTTTGTTGCACAAACATCAGAGATGAAAGAACACGGTCACACATCCTTTTAGTAAAATGGGATGGTCTGGGTTCCATCACAGAACGTCATATGGTGAAATTCATCTGTTGAATGACTAACTGAATGAGTATACCATATTTCTTCTTTGTCCTTAGGAATATATTGTTATAGATTACTGGATTTAAAAAATTAAACTAGAAACTAGAATATTATCATATTAAGACCCAAATCCAAGATTTCACTTTTCATGATAAATCTTAACATTAGTGTGCTATCTGTTTGCGTTCATCTTTGATTCATTTAAGGATTCCAAAATACATTCTTCATTTAGTCATCATCTCTTTATTATTATTATGTGCTGAAAATGAAAAATTCTAAATTCTCAACTCTGTTCAATGAAAGTTAAAAATAGACATAAGAAAAATACAGACCAATATCCCTTATGAATAGAGATGCAGAAATCCTTAACAAAATACTATGAAACCAAATCCTCCAATGTATAATAGGATTATCTACCATCACCAAGTAGAATTTATCCCAGGAGTGCAAGCTTGGTTCAAAAAAAAAAAAAAATCAATCAATATATCATAATATGTTATATTAATAGAATAAAGCATAAAACAACAAGATCATTTCAATAGATGCAGAACATCCAACACACTTTCCTGATAAAAACATTCACACTAAGTATAGAAGGGAACTTCTTCAACCTGAAATAGGGCATCTGGGAGAAACCTAAAAGCTAACGTTATACTTCAGTGAAATACTGAAAGCCTCTGCCTTGTTATCAAGAACAACACGCTGGTCGCGCAGTTCAGGTGTGGGGCGGCCGCCGCGGGAGCCGGCCCGGGCGCTCGGGGGACGCTCTGTGTGTTCCCAAGGAGCCTTCTGGATTATGTCGATGACTGCAAGCACCTATTATGGTAACTTAAGGCCCATTTCTCCTTGGCGTTGGCTGTTTTCTGTTGTTGTTCCTGTTTTGATCGTCTCTAATGGCTTTAAAAAGAAAAGTCTAGATCATAGTGGAGCTTTAGGAGGGCTAGTGGTTGGATTTATCCTAACCATTGCAAACTTCAGCTTTTTTACCTCTTTGCTGATGTTTTTCCTTTCTTCTTCAAAACTCACTAAATGGAAGGGAGAAGCAAAGAAGCGTCTAGATTCAGAATATAAGGAAGG